AAAATTCATTGGAGTAGGGGGTTGCCTTCCGCTTTTTCAGAGCTGGATACGGCCTTGTTATAAATACTATCAAATCACGTATAATAATCAAATTACTCTCTACAATAAGCTGCCACAATAACCACTAAATACATCTTTCGTGTCAAACACTCTTATTATTTTCGCCGCTTTCTTTTATCTTTTCATTTAATACAAAGTAGAGATTTCTATTTCCTTTCCAGATCACGAGATTACATATCACATGACTAACATACTAGTATTTGTTTTTCATAATTATGCATGAATAAAGCATCCATATATCACCGCTAAGGGAACCTCGTGTCTGTTTTAAAACACAAGAATGACTAGTTTGCTAATTAATAAACATTAGAAAGAAGATGAGAAAGCGGTTTTCAGGCGAATAAATAGGTAGTTGAACTAAACGGCAGCAGGAAAATTACATGAAGGATAAACAAAACCAAAACTAAAAACGAAATCGCTACTTCATAAACTTTAAATGTAATTCTAAAGGCTTTTTACTCAATAAATCGCGATTGTGATATAGTTGTTCAAAGAATAAGAATTTTGAATTAATTTGCATTCTGTTAAAGGAACTGTATGATAATTTGTGAATAACAATAGAATAGTGCATATAGATGGCAGCACCTTCAAAACCGATAAGAAAATCACGTGAAAAATCGTTAAGAAAGTCAGTCTATAGATTTGAGAATTCGTAAACAAAGGGAGAGAAGTGAAGTTTGTTACAACTCGCAGAAGCTAAGCCAGTTAAACTTAAAATAAAATATATTTTTTATTAAGAATATTAAATGCTTTCTAAAGTTTTCTTTTGTATCGGTGTTATTGTGATTTTTTCCAGTGGTAAGGCTATAAGTGTAAATAATTAAATTTATGTATTTATTAACAATGTAAATATGACAATGATAACGTGTTTGTGGAACTACTGCAAATACAAATAATAGTATTAGTAAAGTATTACCAATTGTAATGCTATTTATTAAAATAACCTATTGCGTTGAATAACTTATTACATTTAGAATTAAAAGTAAAATTTTGTGTTCAGTGTACACTCTACAGTACTGTATAATATTAATTTTATTACTAATAGTTATTAATACGGAAATCGCACTTTGTAGCAGAGTGTCTTGCATTACACATATCTTATTTATTAAATCAAATTGGACATGGTGTATCGTGTACATGTTTAGATCGTAACGTCTAATAACGTGATGATGTATGAATATGTATTGTAATATACTTATTTTGTGTTATGTATAAGATACTGACTGGTTCAGTGGTTGCGTTGTTTGCATTACGTACAGAGTGACGTACATTTTGACTTGTATGCGTATTTCTAGTTTAACATTTTAAACTTTCTGTATTTTTCTTTTATCCTAATATAACAGAGTTGTACATAATATTTCATAGTACTGACACTTTCTTCAACAAAGTAATAATACGGTAAGAGTTCCATATGGCA